ACAGCAGCTCGTCTTTTTGATCGAGCACGATATAGTTGGATCGAGCTCGAATAGAATTGACCGCATTTCGAGCTCGTTGATCCGAGGTTGGTTTGAACTGGTACTCGAATCGCTATTCGAGTACGGTGAACATCTACCGAGCTCGGTTGCCCAGATACCAAATGTGATCCCTTTCCTCTTCGCTCTATATACTTTCACTAGTTCTTTCCCAGTTGGCTTGTTAGCTCAATTGGTAGAGAGCTACACTAGTATCGCAGAGGTCAGTGGTTTGAATCCCGTACAGGCCTTAATTTTTTCAGGTCTGATTTTCACTATTGCTTAAATAGTGCTCTTTACTGTGAGGATCGTGCACAAATACGTTTCTATAACCTCAGTTCAGATATGTGAATTTCATATATTCGTTGTATTTGACAAATAAAGACTATAAGAACGTAAACAATAAACCACTTGCCTCATTTAGACATGGACATGTGCAAAAAATCGAACTAGCGTGTGACACTGATAGTACACGCTTTCGTTGTGAATGCCTGCCTGATAGCTTCCATGACGGTTCACCAAAACTTTAAAATCTTAACCTTTTATATACTTCTTCTAGTAGTCTTCAGAGGTGCTTGACCCGAGAGCCTCTCTTTCACGTACGCTGATACAGGAAGCCGCTGTCCAACTAAACCGCGCACGCGGATCTGTGATAAGAGCTATTGAAGCCTGACTGAAACTCGATGCCAAAGCTCAACCTCGTTCCGAGGCACATTGCTTATTACTTAACGTCTATTGCGCATTTTCCTGCACAGGGGGAACTAAACGGAATTACTGATTCTGGCCCTTTACGGCTAGAAGAATAATTACGACTTTGTCTCTGAAGAAGAGGCGGCAGTAAGCATTATTATAATATGGTTATGTCAACTAAGTTGGAATTGTAAATTTGCCACCGTAACGAATAAAAAAGCTGACGCTTCGAGCGTTAGCCCTTCGTCATTCGCTCTGACGAAGGGCTAACGCTCGAGACGTCAGCTTTTTTATTCGTTACGGTAGCCAATTTACAATTTCAACTTAGTTGAAATAAACAGATTACCTTGCTATCCCACCGACACAGCACCAAAGTTTCTTTAGAAACGTTCAACCTTTAAGTATTATTATAGCCTACGAGCATGTCGTTGTTTGGTCTCGTCGCACAACGTTGGAGAGAGAGGGCATTGCGTGACGAGTTAAAATTAGGGCTGTGGAGGGACTGCAGGAAGCGTGGTACCAATGCAGTTTATTTTTGCCAACAATTATTCAGACACGACCATCAGTTATTTCGCGTCCCATTTCAACCCACGTATGCAAAACAAAATACCTCCTGCATGCGCAACATGCCTACGGTTTTCTTTTGTGTTTTCCTTTTTGTTCTTGTCTCAGTCCACTTTTTAAAGTCGATTTAGCAAGTAACATAATATGGTTTCATGTTTCGTAAACGCGGAATGAAGACGTCAAAAAGGTAGCAGACAGATGATAAACGCAAGGAAACTCAGACATCGACAGGTGTGTAGAAAACAAAATAAAATAATAACAAACAAAACGCAATTGCAGCGAGTTAAAATATCGAGGGATCTCACAACTGCCCTTGTAATCTTTGATATTTAGAGGGGAGACAAGTGCACAGGTAATGTAAGCTCTTTAGAGCGCGAAATTTTACAATATCACAGACCACGTAAATCTACACGCCAGTCTGTGATGAACTTGGCAGCTTTCTGATATTTCAACATCAAAGAAGAAATGACTAGCTCTATTTTTCCTATTTTGTTGTTGCTGTTGTTGTTGTTGACTTTTTTTTTAACTGAAAGTTTCTTTTTATTGCTATGTTTTGACATCCTTAATGAATAGAGGCGTTTTTTTTTTTTTTCTTTTTTCTTTTTTTTTTTACTTAATGAAGAGAGGCGTTCACAAATCCTACTGGATCAAAATTGCAAATATTAAGACGAATAACATTGTATACACAGTAGGCCTTCCTTTTTCTGTTAAACAGAAAATGTTTAGAATTGCCACTTCGCACGTACTGAATTCTGGGCTATTTGTCTCCTTGACATGGACTACAACTACATTATTTAATGCCTATACCTCAATAAAAACCAATCAATACTTAAAGATACAAAAGGCTCATAATTACCTGGTTCACCCAATTCCAGCATGTACTTAGTCTCCTCACTCTGCACTTTAAAGGACTTAAATGACCTGGATTGAGTCGTAGGATGGGACCAATTGGACCAATACCGGTAGATGTGAAGTTGGTGATGGCTTCTACTTGTCAAACGGTGGAGCTTGTCCAGCCCGAGCCAAAAATTTTCAGATAGATTTCCAAAGCCATTTTTATAGTCATTCCAATATTTGTTAAAGTTGAAGGAGCCGTAAAGTTTCCTTTGGAATACTATCCATCCCCCTTCGTCGTTCGTTTGGTCACAGAAAACTTCAAAGGCACCTGCACCGTCAGGATCAATAGTAAACACTCCATCGTGACGTTGTCCAGTTTTGAACAGTTCGGCACAGTCCTCAGGAACTAGGAAAAAAATTTAACTCAAACTCCTCAAATATAAAGGTGTTTGGTTTGGGATTTCCTGTTCTCTATTTTTAGTCAGAACAAAGAGGTTAATAATTACTTTCTTTAATCATCAAATAATATTTTAGTTCTTTTTGATTTTTTTAATATTTCTTAAAAATAGTTTCGTATGCTATCCATGACCATAAACATCATTCTTTTTAGTAAATTTCAGAGCGGAGCAAAGAGTTTCCAGCAATCTGATTGGTCGAGCGGCTCTTTATATGACGCTATATAAACCACTCCGCGCGGTTTATATAAAATGTTGAAATAATCAGCTCTGAAATTATACTAAAACAATTATTCGCCTCAGGTTCGGTGAATATTTTCGAGTAATCCCCTCGACTTCGTCTCGGAGATTATTCGACGATATTCGACGATATTCGACGATATTCACCTCGCAATCGGCGAATTATTGTTAAATATCAACCGAGAAATACCATCAACAGATAATCCTCTCGTGTCACCGTTAATGTTGTGGGAAATTCCGTATAGGTATTTGATATTTGTCAAATACTATTTGTGAGAGTCTCAGATATTTTGAGGAGGGGGACATAGGGGGCTCTAAAAACCGTAACATCGCGAACAAAATAAATAAATAGATAAATTAATTTTTTTAAAAAGTTTAAAAAAAAACCGCATTACCGCAAGAAAACAGCTATCAATACACTGACACCCCGATATAGTCTCGGGATTTACCTGGTCTGGTTTCACTCATCTTCACCACGCACTGGTCTTTGGCTGACCGATAGCGAGTGTAGTACAGGCCCCGTGGTCAAGTAAAATATAAAAAATCACAGTCTGGGGTCAATCAGTTACTGTTTGTCAAAGATGAACTCCATGTATTGCTTGTTTTCTCGACAGTTGACAACAGGTTATCAAAATCTAGTTTTTAAAAGGGTTGAAGAATAATAAACTGCAACACTAGAATTGGTTTATTTCACCGACCACCGTCGGTTTGAAATTTCAATCATCGCACATCCTGAGGTTTGTGATCACCGCAACACCCCCATGCGAGTTGTTCTTCACCGAACACCACAAGCGCCTATGTCTCCCTCTTTGAGCACACTCATCGATGTCCAAAATGTAATCAACAGACGGTAAACATGCAATTATTGAATACAGAATAAAAAGGGGACAGTTGGAGGTTGATGAACCGGGGGAATTCCTAGACGTAACCACTAAAGGATGATATGTAATTAATTTGAAGATTTATGTATCCCATAAGGCTATGCCCTATGCGGGTTTCTACCTCTGCACTGGTGTCCATCCCCAATGTATCTAGGATTACAAAAACAGTTAAACGATCCCTCGGTATTCGTACAAATGGCATTTTCTTGGCTACAGTTGTGGATATTTTCAGAACACTCGTCGATGTCTAAAACGGAATCAACCGACCGTTAAAAGAAATGAAAAAGCAGGAGAAGGGTTTCAATATACATGAACCATGTAAAAACATAATTCAAAGACTGAAAGGCCAATTAATCCAACCCGAAGAGAAAAAAAAACAATTGTTCAACCAAAACGATGACAGAAAATATCACGTGGGATTCGCGAACACCTCTTTAATCAAAGGATAAAAAATAATGACTAATAACAATGATAATAGAGAAAGAAAAAAAAAAGGAGCAATAATGATAAAAATAAAAGAAACAAAAGAGCTTGCTTTCTTTCCCTTGGTAACAAAATAATAGATCATTGCCAAGATTATCGCCTTTTTCGCAAAGAGTTAGTGAGTTTAGTTGCTCAGCGATATCGCAAAAATCTCGCACTCCGGAAAATATGAATTACCTGTGCATTTGTATACATCAAGATATCGGACCCATAATCGTAATATAGTGATAACGTGGCTGCGATTTTATACGTTTTGTGCCAAACGTCAGTTCAGATCACCTCATCCAATCTTGATGGTAATAGTAAACACTGAGTATAATTTTTGAAGGCGAGTCTGACTAAGAGATATCGAGATTAAGGCTGTTCAGTCCAAAATATCTATTATATATCTTGAAAGTAGATTTGTAAGTTGTAGGCGGTATGGTGGTATAAACAACTTGTAAAGTAGGTTTTTTTTTACCTCTGCAATTGTATCCATCCCCACGGAATCCAGATTGACAAATGCACTTAAATGATCCTTTGTGGTTTTCACAATTGGAGTTTCCATAGCTACAGTTATGGGTTTTTTCATTGCATTCGTCGATGTCTGAAATAAAAACACCGCACTGTATTCATGAACGTGATTGAAAATAACTATGGGGAAGTGTGGGGAGGTGAGTTTAATCTAAAAGCAGTGAAAGAGCTATCAAGAGTTTCTTAAGTGCAGCTCAAGCTCTTTTTAATCCAATGAAGAAACGATTGAGATATCTGAGAGTCTTTATAATTTTCAGGAAGGTAGGGGGTCAATGGGCTACTGCGAAATGCAAAACCGACTCTACTACCGCCTGTAAATCCAGGGAGAGAAGTATTTATCTTAGATTTGAGGAAATCGGAGAACATTATGAGCTTTCTTGCCCGCTCGTGGTAGGCCGTTTTGATCCCACACAAGAAAATAAAGATATGTGTGGGCTGCAATCGTGACAAGGATGTGTGGACAAGGGAAATGACACTCTTAATCTTAAAAAACTGTAAAAACAAATTTTAAAAATGTCTAGCTCACATTTTCTATGATAATATAATAATTATAACAATAATAATAATAGTAATTATAAAAATAATACTAATAATAATAATAATAATAATAATAATAACAACAACCGTGGTTCTCACAAGTCACCCCCAAGCCGTTATGTGAAAATGAGCATGCGACCGCCTTCTGGGACGTCCCATTATTCGCTGACACAACTCAAGTAAAAGCTAATAGAATCGACGCCACAGTCATTGACAAGAACAGCAAGCAGGACAGAGTGATTGAAATGAGCTGTCCATGGCTGGAGAACAGAGAGTCTAAAGATTTTGAGAAGACAACGAAGTACAGTCAACTGAGACTAGAGCTGACGAACCGATACCCTGAGTATAAGGTCAATCAGTATAACATCATCAGGGATGTCCTTGGGGGCTGCTCGAAAAAGATTGAGAGAAATATTAAAGAGCTTGTAGGAGACAAGTGTGAATCAATTATCCACCAAATGCAAAAGGCAATCCTGTTCAGTTCATTACACATTGCTAGAATGTTCAAGCTGAGCATCTAGACATCTTAAGGACTTTTGGACACCCATTTTGGCAGAAATTTTATATCGTAAATTTTGGAGATTTTATTACATATCTTAGCGTTCCAATAGAAAAATGGACAGCTATTTGAGCGATGTTTTTCATGAACAGTTTCACTTTGTAATTAAGACATCCATAAAGCCTTTAGGATTTAATTTAGTTTTTTTATATTTTTATGACACTCTTATCAAATCATTTTTAATCAGGTTTTCTTTTTTTTTGTGTTGGTTTGCTTGCCTTTCCTTTTTTGCGTAAATTATTGTGTAATTGTTGTCATAAGTTTTAGTCGATGCTGTGGCTGGTTACGGTTTGCCGCTCAACCTAAGCTTTTAATCTTTACTCTGGGCATCCAGACGTTTGTACTGCCAATAATAATAATGGCGAGTACGACGGACGTGTATTATCAGCTGTGATAAAATTCGTTCCCAACGAAAGCGAGCTAAGTCTAAAGCACTTGTGTATATCCAGGAATTTATCTTATATACTTTGCAGGCTGTTGACCTATTCGGCGAGACGATTTAGTGTGCCAAGGCGAGTGAATTTAGAGATTTTTGTTCGTCTGTTCGGAGTTTAACCGTGGATTGTGGCGAGCAGTGAGACATCAGGACAAGGACTTCGAGGCAATAGCGGGAGGATAAAATGGACAGACGGTATGAACAACTTTCTGCTGGACCGTAAGAGTAAGAGTAAAGCAACGATCTTAGTTAAGTCGGAGAATCCGCCTCGACTGGAAGATGGAAGGAAGAAAAGATACATGCGGATAATGAAAGAACTGTGGGATGTCTCGGGTTTTGAAATTTGGAGCTAACAAGTCAGAATTTAAGGGATCAAGCGGCGCGCCTGGAAAAGACTATGGGAGATGTAAGAGTTTTCATTTCTGAAAGTGTTGGACAGAGGGTTCGGGAAGAGGAATCGACGATTAGAGATTTTAATGCTCGTAACTTGGAGTCAACTAATTTCGAAGTCAATTATGAAGATCCAGATTTGCATACGGCGACTGTGGAGGGTAGCCCCATGAGACCTGCAGATGTTCTTAATCAACAAACACGCGATCTATTAGACTCATAAAATGTGATTTTCGCAGTTTTGCACACCCAACAAGGCGAGTTTGGTGAACGAGAGTTTGATACATGTATAAAGACCAACTAGGTGTGACTTAAATAATATCAACCGGACAATAGTTAAGCTAAGGGGGCAGCATCAAGTGTCCCCAAGGGATAATCCTCTCAGTTATTTGTGGATTGCGAACTGTGTGCTTTACTCTGTTGTGTTGGCATTGAACAAAGGCTTGAAAAAGCAGCGAGGCGGAATTTCTGGCGTAACGGGTAAGCAACAGAGATAGAAAAGAGAATACGAAGAGCGAGTGTTAGAAGTCAGGAAAACGATTTCAATCGCAGAGGCCGAACTGATGTGTTTAAAGGAAAACAGGAAAATAACAAAAAAAAGAAGAGATAAATCGAGCTATTCTCCAACAGGAATGTAAGGGCTTGTCCGCGGTTAAGCTAGTTAGCTACATGGAAAAACAGAAATCTATCCTAAGAAAGCTGAAGAGAGACTTTCATGAGGGGACGCAAATCGTCTGCACTGCAAGTACCCCGGAAAGTCCCATACATTTTCTTAGACTAAAAGTCTAAGAAAATGTATGGGGCTTTTTGAGCGCTCCAGGCAGCTTTCCTGTAAGGCGTCATAATCTTGTTGCTGCCGACATCGATGTGACAGACAATTGCTTTTACAGTGTTTTTTTTGCCGGCTTATATTGTCATCAAGTTTCAATAAGACAGCTCTCATTTTTCACGAGAACAATAAAGTTTTTGTAAATTACGAGATCGGATGCACGTACTGTTTCAACTAATTCGCTCTTCTTGCTTGGGAATACATTAATAAAATGTCGGCGGACCTTGAGGCCTCCACNNNNAAAAAAAAAGAACATTGTCCAGATCCAAAAACAGACACTGTCCAGATCCAACCGAAAGGGGCGCTAACGATATTAACCACGCAAACGCTGACATAAAAACCACATATTTAATTGGATTAGAACGCCTGGGGAGTTTGATGTGTACTTCCAGTGCAGACGATTTGCGTCCCCTCATGCTAGGAGCAAGAAACAGGAAGAAGTTCGAGTCCGTAATGAACAGTTCCAGACCGACGCTAGCAGGGTCTACGCAAACATGCAGGAAATGCTACATAGGGACAAGGAGAAAGACCGTCCGCGATACATAGCGGATGATCAGGTGAACCAAGGGGAGAGAGAAATATTTAGTATCAAGGGAGCAAGTGAATTCGGGAGAACACTATGGGAGACAGAGGGGGCAGGAGATAGGAATGCAGCATGGTTAGAACAGATCAGATCTGCGATCCATAGTAGAGTACCAGAACCGGCAGAGGAGGACTGGGACTTGGATAAGACGTATGCGGCAAAGGCGCTGAAAAAGAAAAAGACCAGGAGCGCGCTGGGCCCAGATCGTTTGGCGAGCTTCTGGCGGAATCGCGCTCACTCTCTTCATAAATGCGTGG